ACTTTTATTTCACTTGACACAAGTCACATTGCTCTACTGAAGGAAAGTATCATAGAAGATTGATAAGCACAAGTAATGAGATGCAATTTCCTACATACTACCATATTTAAACTGAAAAACATCAAAAAAAAAAGAATTATGAAGATATTATTCTGAGAGAAAGATCCTTGGAAATAAATTCGGAAAAATTAATTTCCGACCTGACTGGGATTCAAATCCACGGCTCTTGGATTTGTACTACTAATGCTCTACCAGCTGAGCTCTAGTAAAAAAAGTACACCTTTTCTAAACAACTTTGCTCAAGATTAGTGCGCTATCAAAGTACATGCAAGGTCAGGAAAACAATTTAACTTTGCTATAAAATCAATTCGATTGGAATTTGTCTAGAGAAAAGTACTGGTGATACTACATAAAAGTAAATGAACTGAACTTTTGATTATTTTAGAAGGTAAAACTTGCACTTTTTAAGCTTTTTTTGGACAAAATTCTCATTTTCAACAAACAAGACAACATTCACATCGAATTCAATCCTAGTCCTGTCATCTTAGAGGTTTATTTCCAGGTATTACCATTCACAGGTCAAGCTGCAACACTCTTGCTATGACAAGTTTAAGACCACATGATTTGGTGATGTCWAGATGTGAAATGCATATAGTGGGTACAGGTCAAACTACAACATTTTTTGACAATATCTTCAAAAAGAAATTACAATATTGTAAGCTTGCTGTATTCCTTAATGAACAAAACTTCCAAAATTTACTGTGACATGTATGTCAAAATATTTTCCTTTGGACAATACTTTAAAAGTTAATTTCTTACATTTCCCTCAAAACCTACAAAGCTGGGCAAACACATCAATTAACATAAAAAAGTTGAACATTCATAGCAGATCGTCTAAGAAAAGAAGCTCTTTTCCACCAAATCCAAAGCTCATCTAGTAGTAACTAAAAYAATTATGTAAAAGAAGGCAAAAATATTCAAATTCCCTGGTCTTAAATCAATGAGAAACAATGGAGCCTTTGAATTTTCCAATATTTCCAGTAACTGTTATGACAAGTTAACTACTGCACCTATCCCTTAACATATAAACTAATTTATGATTGGTTCTCATTTTGTTTGATTCTAATATAAGTCATGATTGGTCAATCCATCATTACACCATCGTACTCTACAGTCCTTGCTTATTTKCAAATAATTTTGCTTGCAAAGTACAAACATGTAACACAAATTACTCCCCCTACCCCCATCAAAAACATCAATTGGATAGGTAACCAAGGTAGCAGACCAGTGATTTACACGTTGTGTAGTACAGCATATTTAGGCTGAAAGTACTCTTACCTGGTGAGTGGTATCTGAGCATAAAATGGTTACTGGGACCAATAGTGCAGAATGCAATCAGTTAGTTTTATATTCAGATTGATACCAGGTACCAGCATAATAATAATAAATACTAGGTGCTCCTTCATATACAGGAATAACAAGCAAATGTACTGTTGCCTCAATCTTTTGTTAAAAATGGATTCCTTTGCTGTAAGCTTTTGTTCTCTATTGAACTACGTCAATTATATCTCAGTAAAAATGCATACTGCTATACACAAGTAGCAAAAGTAGTCTTGGTAGCACAGCTCAAATAAAATTGACAATGCATACATTGAATAAAGATACCACTAAAACAATGGCTTGTTTGTTTACAAGACATTCAATTGTCAAGCTTACATTACCCATGATGCTCTGGAGGGGGGATGGCCCTGTTTCTATTGTTATCATAACATTTGACTCCTCCTTACTTCATTCACGAGCCTAATAATGAATTCCATGACTTCCTTATACATGTAATATCTATAGCTATTCTTACCACCTCTTTAACCTCCACAACTCAACGAACTTCGACGTCGTTTAGCCTCCGTCATGTCAGAAAGGAACATGTTCATGTGTTTACCCTAAAACGTCAAGTAAACCAACATATTTAGTGTCTAAAAAGGTCTTTTGACAATATGATAAGATTAAACTCGAAATATAAGTAGTTTTAAACATTTTTACCTTCAAAATATGTCATTTTTATGAATCCACGTGCAATAACAACTTCACAGTCCGCCATAACACTAGGCCCGCAAAGCATCACGAACCATTCCACAGGAAACCCATAAAAACGGGGGAATTTCTGGCATATTCAAGGACCTATCCCTAGAGTACGGCGAATGAATTTAGGTAGGGGAGGTTGGGGGTGGGGGTAGATTGTACATAATTTTTCATGAAAGAGATGCACAAAAATTTGAAGTAATCATTCCAACTTCCTGCCATACTAATACGTGTGCCAGATGAAAGAATTCATATTGATTGGAAAGCAGAGTGAAAGAGTTTACACATGATGTAGCCGATACTATGATATATGCTAGCGGTCAGAATAACAGCATAATGCAAGAAGAGTGCTTTCAGTAAAAGCGTGAAACAGTAATTACTAAATGGTGCGAAATATTGCTAGAGTTTAACAAAAGATAACAAAAGAAGTAGCATAAAATAGTACACAAAAGCTTTATTAATTTTTCACGCTTTATGTCATTAAACTCGTGAAACAAAATTGAATATTAAAGTGTGATAGTCAAATAGACACAAAAGAAAACAATGCAATTAGAGCGTACTAAAGTCATTTTCATCCGTCTGTGAAACAATTACTACTAGTCAGTGTTTGATAGTGATTACTAGGGTGTAGTAGGCTACTAAAAGACAAAATCAAACCGTTTTTGTTTGTTGCATGTCATAAGTTAAAGTATTTGGCTAATAGGGGCTGGGGTAATAATATTTAATTTTACAATTCCTATTTCACAGACGGATAAAAATGATTCTCAGATATATTAATAGTGTAATATCTATTTTTTGACTACTATAGTTAAGAAACTTTTATGAAGCTTTAAAAAGCATATATACCATAGAAATATAAAATAATATGATTTTAAAATACTATACAAACATCTCAAATAATATTAAAAAAAAAACAGAGAGCCTTTTTGTATAGAAATATAGGACTCCAAAATGTTGTAAATACAAAATAAATAACATAACCTATAGAATATATAACGATAAACCCTCTTTTATAAGCGCATAATTTGTGAACTCTTGCACTTTATCGTGAATAACAAAATAATAATTGAGACTTCCTTCCTCTATTTCAATTAAAAAAAAAACACCTAAAAATAAATAAAAACAACAACAACTAGCAACCAAATAGCAGTGGAAGACGGCGCGTTCTTCAATGATGACGTCAATGATGACGTTAGTGTGATGCACCATGAGACTGACGAATGACAGACTGAGCTTTTGTTTCKGTGTTTAAAAAATGTTAGTTATTTCCTAAATAAAATTTGAATTTGAAATTTTGAATACAATTTTTTATAAACGTACGCTAAGTTGCCATCTTGATAAGAATGATGCACTTCGTCAAAAAATACTTGACGTCAAAATCCTGTCCAGCATGCACTGGTGGGTGAATAACCCAAGCTTGATGAGTGGAAAAGGAATTAAAATCTAGAGATCGATTTTATATTTCATGTAGATTCGCAGTCATCCTCTGCTTAGCGGTTTCGTTTACACGTGATCAATCACTGATAAACTGACTCCTAAGTCCGTGAATAGGCAATGTGCACCTACGCCATTTTGTGCAGCAAAGCATGATGCTAGGAGTCTTTGTACTTTTGGCTACAACAGTCCTCCTTAGAAGTTTTTGCTTTTTCTAAACAAAAATAGAAGTAGTTTTAACGTTTCTACCGAGAAGATGTAAAAACGGCTTTCAGGGAGATTTTTAGAGTCTCTAGTGAGTCCGAGTACTACAACTACCACCATGCTTTGCTGCACAAATGGCGTCGATACACATTGGCTATTATATACAACGTAAACAAAACAAAATGGCGGCAATACTGTACTTTGTACTACCTGACTTTATTTACACAATTTCGTAGAGCTTGATATCTGTAATGACTTTTTACGTTTACGTACCAATTACGCCCGCAAATGCAGATCAAGAACTTTTCGAAAATAGTCTCAAGTAAAAAAAAACACTTTTTGAATTCGATTGCTTATAATTTCCCGAAAAGCATGATCCCTGTACAACATTGTAGACAAAACCTTAAAGAATTGCTCCATTGCGAAGACTTCAATATTTCATTTTTGCACTTCCTATATGCAGAAATAGAAAAATTATTTGAATCTAGATTTTGAGGATTATAACTTGACCCGCTTAAAAATGCGCGAGCTCGGACTTCATTTCGTTTACCATCTCGTAGGTACTTTGTTCGAGATAATGGCGTCGCTGCGTGTTGCCTATCCAGATATATATAGTGCTACGAGGACCCAGTTGCCGTTTCTTGTTTTGGACTGACAGGAATCCACTGATGTGTTTCCCTATCGATAATGTGCTGAAACTCTCTCATCACAGGCGCCCCAACACTTTCGTAGTCACCTTCCATGACCTTAAAAAAAAAAAAACACATCCAAAACACAACGGTGAATGTCTCGCATATAGCAGTGTGCACTAAACAAGGTTTGCGTTTTATATAACCTAACTGATGTTGATTTACATGTATTTGTTGAGCTGTCAGTCAATTTACGCGAACTCACCTCTACATTGATCCAGTCACTATCCCCTAATCTAAGACTGCCCCTATATATTGGCATCTTAGCTGAGGTGTGTATTCCAAAACTGTCAATGTGGTCTATGTAGACAAGGCCAAGATCGTTGATTATGGATTGCCTAGCGGTGACAACCTCGCTAGCACTATCCACGACGAATTCTAACTCTTCACTCTGTTTATCTACTGGAAGATATAATTTTGATTGAGTACAGTAATTTGCAATCATTTCTTCAACAACTAACATATATAATTACGGGTAATTTGATGCCCTCTTTTTGCTCGCAAAAATCATTCTCTCTACTAGACTCTTCACAGCTTCCCAAAGAGATGTTCAAGGTTAGCCTTTCATGAATACCGCAGACTCGTACCTAGTCGTTTCTCTTGCTCGTTTCACGGGTCGCGCTGCTAGAGCTGTTAAAGGAAGTCCGAACTACTTCCCTTGATCCTTTGCGCGCGTCAGAGAGAAAGAAGAGTAACGACTGGGTACGAGTCTGTGATTTCCGTTGGGGACCTGAGGGTTTGGACTGGAAGGACTAGCAACTTGAAATTGCATACATTAATAAATTTACCACGTATGTGCGTTTCGAAATTTCAGGTGGTTTATACTATGTAGAGTATATGTTAGCAGTCAGATTTTCACGKCCGTTATACTTCTTTCCCTTGCAAGTTTATAAGAACTGAAGAATCATGCAAAGATGCAAGCACTAGACACAAATAGACAAACTCACACCCCATGGCCATGAAGTTGCCCAAAAGGCTAATAAATATAAACTATGAGACGGTTTTCATGAAAATGAGAATCGTTTAAATGGTGATTAAAAGAGGAAAGTCAGACATAAACACGATGAATGAGTCAGCGTATGGAGAGCGGATGTTTGCCGGGTTAATATATCAATATTGGCAACGTACTGCATTCTTCATCGATAATGCGTGAACGCGATATCATATTTGACGGATKTATCAAATGAACCCTTAGCTAAACCTTACCATCTTTTGCTGACTTAAAACAGCCCTTTACACAYAGAAAAAGATTCTGTAATTTTCCGAAATGTCCACACGAAGGTCKTTTCCAGCTTCCTTTTGCTACAGCGCCCGAGGATCCACATTGTACCATGCACGTGTTGGACAAAGATTGAACTAAGGAAAAAGTTTGAGAGGATTAAATAAAAACTTTCGGTCTGTTTTTCAGCAACAATACACGGTCTTATTAGAGACGCATGTTTGTTTTTGCTGCCAAGAAACTCCCGGGGTAATTAAAGAATACGCGCGCGCAAGTGTATGATATGTGGTCCGCGGTAACGCAACTAGTTCAGGGTTRAAATAACATAACGTAACTTCTTCTGAAAGGATGACATGAAAAACAGTAAAA